GAGAAACAGCAGTATAAATAGTTTGCAATGTAGCCCACTTATATTCTTCACGTGAAAATTACAAATCAATGTGGTGATGACAAGTGAGAAAGGGACGAAGAGAAGCGAAAGTGGAAATAAACTAACTTTCTAAAAGTAAAGCGGTTCGGTTTCTTCTTTTTTTTCACGAATATTATTCTCCGTTTGTGTTGTTGTTGTTGTTGTTGTTGTTGTTGTTGTTGTTGTTGTTGTTGTTGTTGTTAATTATCTTTTTTTCCCGGAGGTGGTTTCAATGATAGTACAAGACAAGATGGGCCACTCAGCCAAAAAAGTGTCCGCAGGAAGTATGCTCTTTGCTTCAGATGGCGCTGCAGTCTGTTTTGAAGCTCTCTTTCGTTTTTCCAGAAGAAGAATAGGAATAGCACCTCCTTGTGTGCGCAGATCGACTGCTGTTCATCAGCAGTTCGGGTACGTTCAGTGCGGAGTTTTAGGTTTTTTTTATTTTAATGACCTGTCGCCTTTCATTCTAAAGTCAAATTAAACGAAGAAAACCATCACCCTTTCCTCCGGAAGAGGTTTTTTGTCAGGGTAACCATTTTAAAAAAGCGTTCTTCCGAAATGTATCCCAAAACTTGCTAGTTTCACTTTGATTTTTTATAACTCAAGTAGGGTAACTCTGTTCGCAAAGAGTGCGCTTTTGTGAAGAGGGCGCCACCAAATTTTGAGGACACTTTTTTAATTGGCTCAAAGCACAGAATTCTACACAAGTGTAGAATTCTGTGGCTCAAAGAGAGAAGTGGCCCATCTTGTTATGTACTATCTTTGGTGGTTTTTTGTCGCAAAAAAAAATTTAATCGCGTTGCTATTCGCGGACCAAAAAATGCAAAAAAAAATCGCGGCCGCGAGCCACGACAAACGCAGATGCTAGGCCTACGTTTGCTCCCTATTTTTAAAATCTCGTATTGTGATTCTGTGTCGAAATACGAATAGTCTTGAGTTCTCACACAAACAAATCCACCACTATTTGACTGTAAATGTATTGTTATAGCCATTATAATAAGGTAACCCCCTTCTCGTCTGGGTGCATGAAATTGTGGAATCCCTTGCGTACCAAAAGAGCTAATTAAATTTATACGTAAGCCAGATGGATACATATTTAGAAACCTGTCATAATTCCATTCTATAAACTAGCAGCATGATGACGAAAGAAGATATTCACTTTATCTATCTCAGTTGTCCGTATCTATATATATACAATTTAGATATAATATGCTTTATCTGCTGAGATGTGTGTCTACTCGACCATTCTGTTCAACAGACAAGAATCCATGTTTAATCTGTCCCAGTGAGTTTTTATTTACTTATCTAGTAAAACGTGTCGATGATTTGTCAATCTAACTGTGCGCTATCACTATATCTGTAGAGTGTATGTTTCACCCTCTCAGCTATGTATATCACATCTGTCTATCTCGTTTAGATATAATAATCATCATAGTCAGGTTATGTAATTATATTCCATTTACCCAGTAACGCACAATGACATACCAATACCATCCGTCAGCTTGCAAGTGTGAATGCTTGTGCGCTTAGTAACCTAGTGCTCCCCCAAGCTCAGCACATAACAATACACGTTCATCTTCTCAGTTCCTGTTTACCCTTTTACACAGCTTTTATCTTTCTTCCGGTGATTAATCCCCATTTCCTCTCAGTTGTGATTAATCAGAAGGAAAAAAAGGCCTCAGTTGTAATTTGCACCTGCCCCTGTTTTAGTCTCATTCAGACTAACACTACACCCCCCCCCCCCCCTCCCACAATCTTTTGACGGGTTAAAAAAGTGCAGTAACTAATATACCTGTCATTACCTCATTGCCCCGAACAGCCCCGCTTGACCTTTTAGTAGTTTAGTAAGAGTTTTACGGCGCTCGCAACTGCATAATAAGGTCATACAAGCTTGACCTTTACATACTAGACTAGATCTAGTTAAGTTATTTTTTCTCTAAACATTCCTACCTACTTGATTATCTCTGTTCAGCTTGTAATGATAGTACATTACCATGTTCCTCTTCCTCAACACACAGTACGTGTATGCGGGCCAGGCTTACATAGTTTCATTTATGCTCCTTCCAGCACATATTATTATTACGCCACATTTTTAGGCGCTATAATTAGTTCTTTCTTCCCACCTGCCCCATCTCTTCTATGCTTTTTGATGATGGTACAGCTAGGTTCCTCTGTACCATTCCACTCTGTGGGCTTTGGTGGGTTTCAGTTGAATAGTTTATTTCTGTTTCACATTTCACGTAGAGAAAAAAAAGAAGACAGAACTCCCTACAGCTGGGTTGTTTTGTTGACTTTGTTTTAAAGCTTAGAATTGTCTGTAGGGTGCACAGCTTTGACACAGGGTATGGTGTACATGAATATAGTTGTTCTTGCATTTTTTAAAATAATAAATAATAATTCTGCCAAACTATTGTTTTTTTTGTTTTTGTAAAGTGTTTAACGGCGCTCGCAACTGCATAGGTCATATGAGCGCGCGGGACACACCTAATATTTTCAGTTGGTAGGAAATTTTGAATTTTTGCCCGGGTGGCGGCCGAAGCCTACTCTTATCGATTTTAGACCACCAAGGGATCTTTAACGTGCGCAACTTGCACACAGGCCCTCCGAGATTTTTCGCCCTTGTCCGAGAAGGCTAGGTGTAGATCTTTCCTACCAGAAGATCAGGGGTGTGGCAGAAAGACAGCAGTAAGGAGGAGCCAAGGAGTAGCAGTAGAAAGGCTGCAGAAAGAGTCGGGAGCCCAGAGGAGGGGGCAAAGGAGGTGAAGGGGTGGAGGCAGAAAGTGGAAATGAAAGCAGACAACAGAACATTGCTAGAGAGCAGGAAAGGAGGTGAAAGGAGACAATTTTAGAGAAAAAAATTTTTCGGTCGCTACCCGGATTCGAACCCGGGACCTTTGAATGAGAGGCCAACATCTTAACCTCTAGGCCACGAGAGCCCCCAAACTATTGTTTAGAACATGCCTTGAAAAGTAACAGTCCTGTGTACACTGCGGTACTTACTTTTTCTTTTACTTTTTCATCCTCTGTTGCCGTTAAGCGTCGAGTGGAGATGCAGTTTTTTTATGGTAGGCCAGCTCCGCAGCTCTTTCAGTTGTGATGTTATGTTTTTTTTAGGGTTTCCTTGACACCCAAAATCAACCTTTTGCGTAGCCTTCCTCTTCCTTTAAAGCCTGAGCGCTTGGTGTTGTAGGCTCTCAAGGCTGGCTGGTCAGGTGACATGATGCGTAACAGGTGCCCAAACCATTTTATCTTCCGTCTTTCTATGTAACGCAGGCAGGACTCAGCGCCGAGAGCTGCTCTTACTTCATTTCTCTGCCTGTCTCGTCTAGAGATGCTAAGGGTTTTGCGGAGACATTTCATTTCGCATGCGATGATTTTGCTTTCATGGGTTTTGCTTTAAGTCCAGGTCTGGCACTGATAACTTAATGTTGGTTTGAATATTGAAGTGATAAGCTGTCTCTTTGAGTCCATGGAGATGTTTGGATGAGATAGGAGGGGTGTGAGCTGGTAGGCGACAGCGTTGGCTTTTTGAGTTCGCATTTCTATTTCTCTGTCTATGGACCCGTTTTCAGAAAAAGTGCTGCCAAGATATTTTAACTCCTTCACCTGTTTCAGTTGTATACTGTTGACATGAATGTTCAGGGGACTATGGTTTCGGTTCACTTTCATAACTTCTGTTTTTGAGGTGCTGATTTTCTGCGGTAAAAATTAGTAAAATACACCTTTTCTGTCAACCACCAGCTACCTTGGAGTCCACTTAAACCAAAATCTGCTGGATAACCAGATTTTCTTCAGTCTAGTCCCGTTTTCAATTTACAGAGGTTGCTCAATAGAAAAAAAAAATCAGAAATTGTTTTTTGACGTTTCTTTTCTGTTTATTGCTGTTTTCGGATTAACTGTGTTCAGTCTAAGCGGACTCTACTGTACTTCCAGTTCTACGCACAAGAGCAGGGTTTTATCTCCCTAACCTATAAATCTAGATAGTATATGAGGTCATGACGATAACATGGGCCAGATGTTTATTTCTGAACATTACAGAGCTTGTTCGGAGATAAAAATCTCAAAACAAATATAGGTTAGTGTGTTGCTATCCCTACTATTGTTCTGAGAAGAAGAAATAAAACACACAGGACTCGAAATTACGCATCCGTCGAACTGTGCCGGCGGTTCCGGTTTTTTCTTCTTCTTTATAAATCTTTGTAAGACATCCCTCGAAAAACGGATCCCTCAAACTACAGAGGCCGATCCTGACGAATTTGAGCAATCCGTGTTATACTGTATAAGTCTATTTGTCTGCATAAACTAAACATGAGAGCATCTTAAGGGAAAATAGGGACAAGGACCAAAAAAAGTTCAATCATAAAAATTCACCAAAGCTAAAAACACAAGAACTTGAGGCATCATCTACACAAACACAGTGTAAGATTCAATGCAAAGGGGAAGTAGAAAAGGTACTACATGCATCACAAAACAAAATCATCTAATGACAAGACGAAAAATGAAAAGCATACAAATAACAATAACACTGTCGTTCAGAGTGGTGTTTCGACCATTCTCTTTTAATATATTCCAGGGTCTACACAAGTAATGGCAAGCTATTGAAAGCTTGACAGACTGAAGCAGTTGAGAAATTAAAAGTGACTTTGGCATGACAAAATGACAAATGAATGGTTATAATGGATAATACCTGGTAGGGAAGTCGCTAAAAGAAACATTTCTTTACTTTCCTTTAGTCTCAGGGCAGAGAAGCACACTTACAAGATAATTACCAAATTTGTGCTACAAAAAAGCAAAACCTGATAGACAAAAACAACAGAGGGAGTATTCAGTTTAGTCAAAGAAAAGCCCATGTCCTATTTACCTCTGTGTGTCCTCACTTCCAGAAGACTGGCAGTACTTCGCAAAAACTCCAGCTGGCTGGTCTGTTCTTTCCTAATGACCATAATTTTGATTTTCTCAGGGGACATACAGTGTTGCAGCCTATAAGCTGAACAGTTATCCTTCACTTATTAAGAGGAGCCCAAGGGAAACAACCCTAACAAAATACCTAGAAACTAAATAATGTATTACCTCAATTTATTGCAAGTTCACACCTTTACCACTTGAATATAATGCCCCACGAAGTATAACTTACCAGAGGCATTCCCCAACCACAGCCTACAATTTCTGAAACTTCTGAAATTGTGTTAGGACCAAAAAGACATGTTCAAATGGCATCATGTAGAACAATTGGACATTCATTGTGACACAAAAAAACAAAAATATACAACTTCATAAGGACTAGAATAAAAATCCTGAAGTGTCCTCTAAAATGTCATCCAGAAAATCAAACAAACTGTTTTAATGACAACGACATTAGTGTGTTCTACTGCTGATAATTTGTAAGGTGTGCTGACAAAATGAGTTATTTCTCGCAATCCTCAAATGGAGATATCGTTCGAAAATCAACATTAGGGTCAAATGTGTAAATTCTCACCTGATGCCATTTTATTCAAGTTCAACATGCCTGTTATCATTTCATACTTTCAAATTGTACAAACTCAACCTTTAAATTTGACATATCTAACGTCCATTGGGTTCAGATACAAAAAGTAATTCATTTTTTCAGCACACCTCAAAGTTTTATTTTGCTGGAGCTGAATTCAGAAAAAGTACGTTATTTGAAAACGTAATGTCACACTTAGCCCCCCCACTCCCCTCAAGAAGACAGATGTTTTGGTATAAGTCTTTAGAGACACTGTTTTCAGGACAAAAAAGTCTTCTTTTCACGTCAAGCAAAACCTCCTCAACCACAGTATTACATCGAGAATGTCTCCATGATGAGCACAATTACATACCACACCTAAAGCAGATTCCCAAGACCGTAAATGCTTAACAATGATAGTTTTTTTAACTACACTGCACCAATACAAGAGAGTATACTGAAAACAGACACCTTAATGGGTCTTGAGAGGAAGATACTGTATTATTCTAATTTGTTCGCAGGCTGTTTCAAGAAAGTAAAATATGAAAGTGAACACATAAGAATCCTAACATGTTGAGCAGTACTATTTCTTTTAGATCTGAATCATCTAGACCTAAAACAAGTAATGTTAGCAACTCCTACAAATATTTTACTTTACCCCTACACTGAGATTTTTTAATCAGTAACGCAAGCCTTTCCAATATTACAGTACTTCAATAAAGAATGAAACAATTATAAACTAATAGGGGCGTTAAACCTATACCATTTCACCATTTTGAAACAATTATAAATTATCAAAGTAAAAGTGATCCACAACTTCATAATATGGCTGAAAAATGTCAACCATGAAACAAAAAAGGGAAGATACACTGCCTTTAGCAAAGATGATGAATTGCTTGCACACATTTGAATAACAATGAATAAAAACAATCAAATAGGAAGTGCTTATCTTATTTGGGCTACTTAGCCTACCCCCACCCCCCGCCCCAACTTTATTTAGGCTACCCATTCCTTGTAAAGATAATTGTGTGGAACTGAAGAGTTAGTTTCGCTTTTGCTTTTCGAGTAAGGCATCTTTCTCATTTCAGTTCAGTTCGTTCTGTGGGCCAGGGTAGCCTAAATAAGATTTAGGTGGGGGTTTGCTGTTAATATAATCAAAGCTACATGTAACACAAATAAGCTTTGCCAGAGGGGTTGGCTTATTTGGGCTACATAAAGCCTAAATAAGGTCAATCATCGAAAAGAAAAAAAAAAACCCTTGAAGACAATCGCAAGAACTATTCCTCATTGAACAATAACACTAGGATGCGACATTGCACAAAGCCCGATAGACCCAACACTTTTTCTACCAACCTAGCTCACATCAGAACACGTATATATATATGAAGAGATGAAAATTTCACTTCTGATTCTTGAAATTAAAAAAAAAAAATAAATAAAAAAATAAATAAAAAACTAACATTCCCATTATTTCTATTCACACGAACCCTTAATTCAAATATAAGGTAGTGGTGTTTTTTCAGTTGAACTTGAACGATAAGCTAACTTTATTACTAAAAACTGACAGCAAGACTATCACCAGAACCTCTTAAAAAGACCATAACCTACGACAATCCTGCACCCAAAGATAACAAAAACATGTACTGTACACAGCTGTAACTGTAAGCAACAAAAGATGGTATTGGACTGGAACCAGCATGGCCAATGTAAAGCACAATTTTCCTTGAAAAGAGCTGTGAACTGCAGACATTAAACGTCCAGCTGATTCATCAGAAATAATTGATAAGGTAAAAGAAGAGTAAACATATCTACTCAGAAAAATGTTATTTTTATCTTTCAAGATTCAAGAATCTTCGAAACACCTCCAGCACATTAGGTAACACACACAAAGTTCACATATATGTTCATTAAAGTGGGAAAGCCTACCACCAAGACAGAGCACATCAAGAGCTGTGCACAACTGAAGCTTATATATGTATATGGTGAACTTTATTTTTCAAATGTGACCATCACAAAAAAAAAAAAAAAAATCACACAAAAAAGAAATTGCCATCCTTCAGTAGACTACATTTTCCTACTTGCGAGTCTTTATGGATTTTATTACAATAAAGAACAATAGTTTTACTCAAAAGGCTTTTCTACTCATTTGTAAGTGGAAATGCAGCCTCAATGCTGTTGGTTATAATGAAAAGCATTGCAGCAAAAAGGCTTTGGCATTTAAGAGATAGCACATAGTATCACTTTTCTCTATACAATCAAACCTGCCTTAACGGCCACCTGTCCAAGATGAGCCCCTGTAGAAATGAGCACTTCCTATTCCTCTCCATGCATTTTAAAATATCATAATGACAGTTTCCAAAACATCCTTCTGTCTACGACAATCGTATTTCTCCTCAACAATGGGTGACCATTTTGGACAGTTTCATCTGTACATTGTTCAACATTTTACAAAAAGATACAACTCTACATGAGTAACAATAAATTACACAACTGCAAATATTCCTCAGAATGATTAAGCACATTTTACACCAATAGACAGATCCATGTCTCTCTAGCAACTCCACATGCAAGACCATGGCCATTGTAGCACTAAATTTTGCATGCTGAGGTTTCATGTAGACAGCCTACACCTAACATAAGCATCACAACTCACAGACAGAGAATCTCTCATCAATAGAACAACATTCCATTTTAGCAAACTGCCTCCTGACAAGCTGAGTACATTCAACATCATGAAAAGCAGTCATGCATGACTAATTTTCAACAACAAATCACATTCAAGTTACATCTTAAAGATTTTTTCATTTCCCCCCAAGAAGCGAGATCCTGAAAAATAAAACAAAAAAAGAAGCATTACTTCACACTGTATCACAGTATAACTGAAAACATTGATAAGGAAGATATCTAAAATGATAAGACCTGCAGTGAACCTTCCAGACGTAAAGGCAGTGGGGAAAAGCACTTTAATCCCATACCTAAATGTTAAGGTGAGTGGGGTTAAGACGTGAGAACAAATATAAACATTGCAGCAGAAAAGAGAGCTATTAATGAGTGACTTCTCTTGCTAAATGCCACACTTAGATCTGTCCTAAAGAGATGTAGACTTTGTGTTCAAGCCATACAATCTCTGGTTCCTTTGACTCGCTCTGCAGTGCTGCAACTGTTGTGTTCCGGAACTCATGCTTCAGCAGAAAGCACACCTGAAACACAAATTTATGTTTCATTATAATGGCAAGATGTTAGGAGTAATCAAATATACTTTTAGCATTCTATACAATAACATATCCTGTTTAGTCTTTAGAGGAAGGGTATTCAGTCAGCTGGACAAAGATGATTCTGACCATTTTGATACAGAAGCATTTGGCACAAAGACTGGTTATCATAATGAAAGGTAATTTCTAGAAGGGAGAAAAAAGTTTGAATACCCTTTAAATTGAAATCTCAAAATTTCCATTAAAATCATACACCCAAAACCACACACTACTAACAAAATCAAGATAAAAACACTTCCCAGAAAAGGCTCAAAAACTTTTTAATCCCACTAACAATCAAAAACATATTCACGCCAAACTGAAATTTAGCTGGTATTGCAGCCTATGTAGAGGACTCTCTAAGCAACAGTGAAGGAGAAAGAATGGAGAAGAACCTAGAGGATAAACCAAGTTATAATTCACTTAATACGGTAATACACAACAGCCAATTTTTTTCTAGGAATCCGATATAAACACAACAGTAATACTGAAAAGAAGTGAAAGGAACAGACCAGCCAGAGAGAAGCTAACAATTGACAAACTGTACTGGGGAATGAACAAGGAAACCTTTTTACAGATTCTTATTCCAGGAATTACAACACAACAGTTGGACCAAACTGTAGCTGAGTACTGTACATTGTGTCAGGTCAGCATGATAACTACCACATGGCTCCAGGGATAGGATAGGTCAATAGGAACACGGCAAAAGAGAAGAAAAAGCTAGAATAATCACAGACTCACTTCAATTTTTAATAAGTTAGTTTATTATAAATCGTCTTAATCCCTTTGGACAAAAAGCTTACACTACTTCACACTTTGGAGCTTCCGTCTCTTGGGAGTCAAGTACCCATTAGCTACATGTATCTGGGCAAAAGGTGGAAAACAATGTGAAGTATCTTTTCTGGGACATAACGTTCTACTCTGGAAAAACTAGGAATTTAACTCGCATCTTTCATACTGTAAGTGAAACTTCCTGTACTCGCTTTGACCTGAATTAGAAGAAGCACACTGCATGGAGCATCACTCAACTACGCACTCTGTCCAGACAGGCTGTGCATTTCAATACCGCTGAGGAGGATTGTTCATACCTCCCCTCCCTTACCACTGAAATTTGTCTTTGAACAAAATTCTTTTCATTCAAACCACGTGACCCAAGACTCTAAAGCACACCACCATTTAAACAAACAAAATCCCAAGCTCCCCTCCTCCCTCTTATCCTGGAGAGAGAGAATTTTTTGAATAGAAAAAAATGAAAATAAAAAATAAAAATCATAACTTCATCATCATCATCCAGTGCCAGATCTGTGACAGACATCGGCGATCATGGTTCTCCATTCATTCCTTTGGTCGGATGCTCTTAAAAAATCATAACTTAGATTTACTAAATTTCAAAAGCAGAAATACTGTTCTGTTGCTCAGCTCACACAAAATTTAAAGAGTACAAAAAAAATCTCTCACCCTGACATCTCCCTCTTTGACAAGAGGTGTGACCTTGACAATGAATCCAATCTTGTTGGCCTTTCGGAAAGCAATCACCCTGTAAAAGAGATGATCATCAACAAAACATTAACAACAGGCAGAAGCAGATCCAAAGGAAGTGAGTTCACACAGATGCAACAGGAAATTGTTTAAGATCTATCAACACCATTTGGAATTGGACTAACTTGTTTTGGTTCTAAAACTCTGAGCACACAATTATTTTGTCTTTAACTCTCTCAGGACAGACAAAAGGTGCAAACATTTCCATTCAGTTCTATTGGCAAAAGGCAGGACTGCTCTTCTCCTGTGTTCCCCTTCTTGCTCTCAGGGGTAGTCCACAAGCTTTTTTTTTTCCACCAAAATGTTTCCTTGTTCAGCCTGCTTCCCTGCAGCATTCTCCACTTTTAAGGCAGCTACATGCTTTTTCAAATGTACTCTGATTTACCTATACTTACAAGTTTAATACAAGCAGTTCTTTCATTTTGGGTAGGAACTTAATTATATATTTGTCACAAGCAGCCCATTTTCCCATTATAATCTGCTAAGGTGTGTTTAGTATGTGCAACATGCAAGCTATATAATATGAGAAATGAGTTTTTTTCATCCATACTCAAACAATCTTCTTCCTTCTGTGTAAGATTTTGTCTTGTTCTTCTTTCCCAGCTGTCTTTGAGCTAGCTTTCATTAGGGCTCTTTAGCTATCATTATTACTGTTGTGTCAATGCATGGTTCTCTGACACAGAGGCATAAAGTGAGTGGTACGAGTAGTTAATATGGGACGATGATATCCCTTCTTCTTTACCATCTGCCTGTCCTGGGGTGGGGTTTTTTGTGGGTTTTTTTTGGGGGGGAAGCTATTAGTAAGTAGTATAGAGGTACAGTGTTTCCCTCTTTTGACAAGATACCTAGTTTGATTCTTACCCGATGCAGGCATGATCAGAAGATTAGGTTTTTGGTCATGGACCCAGAGTAGATAGTTTCAAGTGTTTGAGTAAAGAGAAGCACATGGACACAATAATGGCCATTTAGAGCTGGGAAAAGGTAAGAAAGACAGACAGAAACAAGAGAGGTAAAGTAAAGAAGTCGGACCTACCAGTGGCTACCTCCAACCTCCCACAGAAAAAAGATAATTATCACACCTTTATTGATCTTGCTAGTAAAAAAAAAAAACCTGCCATCATAATGATATTTACATGATAAGGCAAAAAAAAACCCAACTACCCATGCAGACTTACTTTGGATCATCCTTGAAGTCCAAGTGAGCCTGAGAGCTATCATCATAGACGTGCATCGACGGCTCATCGCGTCCAGCTAACACCAACTCTTTCTTTGGAAGATCGATCTAAGAGAAAAAAACAAAGTATGTTTTGAATCATGAAAAAAAAAAGTAAATTGAATACTGTATTAATTTACTACTTACAGTGACAAAAGCAGACTTGTAAGCATGATTATATTAGTCTACTAAACCTTATATCTGTTTTATAAAACCAAGGAAAGGAATTCTGAATGTTTAAAGACGTAAAAACAATACATTTTTTAAAAAGTGATTTAAATCACTGATTTTTTATTTTAAAAATCAAGTTGATTTAAATCAAAAAAATCAACTGATTTAAATCAACCTGATTTAAATCAACCCAACCCTGTATGTGTCAAGATGCCGTGAAATCAGGTGCTCCTCAATTTTGGGGCAAGTGAAGATATTGGTATCATCTTGAAGCATGTTCATTCGTCTTGCTTTCGATAAAAAAAATACTCGTTTATCTTCGATTAAAAAAATACTCATTTTTCTTGAATAAAAGTTAATATATTTTTGATTGACCACGGTGGGGGCGTCACCTGGTTTCAGAGGTAAAAGTAGTGAGAAAATGGCCACCAAAGTTAGGTGATTTCCAAAGCTTAAGAGTCCTTGGAAACTGCAAAATTACATTTTTTCTGCTGCTTTCATCAAGGTTTTTATGTAAAAGCCACACAGAAATGTGTTTTTTTATGATTTTAACAGGTGTTGAGCTAAAAAACAAAAAATCAATAATAATGGCAAACCGAATGGGAAAATGCTGGTTTCTCCGAATTCATTATTTTGACGAGCACCTGATTTCACCACAGCGCCTCACATATTATAATGACATTATCCTAGACGTCCACCTGTCTGAGAAAACCACTCTAAACCTTCACAATGGGAGGCCATCTCTGACAATTTGGACTTGGTTCCAGTAGGGAATGGGATAGAGGGTGCCCACGTCCCTCGTGACTCATTGGAGCACAGGAAGACAGGAGTAACGATAACATTACTTAAATGCAATCCTACATCATCACTCATCACCACAATTATTTCTAAAATCAGAATTGCTCTCAGATCAATGACTTACATTTATAATTCTGAAATCTCTATCTGTAACAGTTACTTGTCATACTAAGTATGTACATAATACACTATAAGACACTATCATACGAACTTTTTTCTACTAATCAGATGGCGTCAATCTCATATAAATGGGCAAATTAATTTTTTAAACGGACAATTTTGACTGTATAGAAGTATTGTTAAAAATTGAAAAAGTAGAGGCAAAAAAATTGTGAAGCTTACCAAGTTGTAATCTTCAAAAATGTTCATGCTGAGAGAAATTATAGAGGGCTTCAAACAGACATAAACACTGACAATCACACAAACAGTAAACAGTGCAGGTAAGTTCAATTTAAAGTGTCAGCATTATTTTGAAGCCTTACGGTTTTACTTGTAGTATTTTTGTTCTTAAGACTAGAAGACGTGGAAAAGTTCAAGGAGAAGGAAAAATGGTAAATTTATAGAAGAAACCCTCCCGTCTCAGAAAGGCTATTATTTTGGAGCTTTTTAGTTTTTTTTAGGGCCCTGAACACGATTTTTGCATTGAAAAACGTCGCAACTTGTTAGTTTAGATGTTACGGCACATTATTTCAGGGGGGAGACCCTCCCTGCCTGCCCTACTACACCGCTATTACGTACTCCCTCGTCAGAGGGAGACCCCCTGAAACCCCCCTATAGACTACAAAAGCATGCATTTCTTTTTTAAAAGCCTAAAACTAGATCTAAGCCTTAACAAAAAAAAAAAAAAAAAACCTTATTCGTATATCAGATGGCACTAAAGTGGTGAAGGAGCTGACTTCCGGTAATGGATGTGACGCGAAACGAGAGAGCTTCTATAAATACCGGAAAAATAGCATTAAAAAAATACCAGAAATAAAACAAAGATCAGGGTCTACTGTCCAGTGATGCATCCCAAAACCAGCAATGTGTGTGCATCACATGCAAAGGCGAACCTGATGGGTTCCATCAGGTGTGCGAGGCGATTTGAATTCAAGGAAATTATAATTGTACAGAGGATTTAAGGTGTTACAAGAGCGTCACCAACACAAAAAGTAAGAGTGATCAGGACAATAGATGACTTACAGAAAGAAGTAATAAACCACGCCAGAGCACCCGCTTACGACCCACTAAAAACTTGGCAGCAATCTTTATTTCTGTGCCAGTGAGCTGCTGCCAGCAGCTCGGACACATTCCTTTACAATGACTTCGACATCAAATTACTTTTCAGCAATTGCTGAAAACAGGTCCCTTTTATGGGGGGTTCATTTTATTTGATGAAGAACTATCAAAACAGGTTCACTTGCTTTGATTTAATGACCAATTTAGTGGCGTTTTCATCATGTTTAGATTCAGTACCAAAAAAAATGCCCCAGCATAGTGGGTTTACCTCCCTCAAAGATAAAGAGTTAAAAACCTGGCACTATGATCGAAAAAAAAAGTAAAGAAAAATCTGCGACTTACCTTCCCAGTGCAGTAGTCCGTGTCTGTCTCATTCTCAATGGCAGCCAGAGTGACTGTGGTGTTGAACACAGAGGGGTTGCTCAAGGTCAGGGTCACCACAGACTCCTAGAGGTCAGGCACGAGGTAATGAATGCTGTTAGTGTTACTCACAAGTACAAATTAATACAGTGGAATCCTGTTATAACGAGAGGGAGGGGACTGGTACAAAATGTCTGTTATAGCAGGATTCTCGCTATAAGGGATCCAGAAATAAATTAAAAGGAAATAATAAAGTAGGCCTAATCTATGAGTTTGCTGTTCTGTTTATTTCTTTTTGTTATCTCCCCTGATGATGATTTTGTTTCACCATGACCTCTAGGTCTTACTTGATAAAAAATCGAATCAGGTTTCTTTCTCTAGCGCTAGCGACGTTGACAGCTCGGTGTTGGCGATCAAAAAGAAAGGCTTCTAGCGTAACTCGTCCGCTGTGTTGTCCCCCACCCCACCACACTCTGTGGAGCGTTCCATCTGCTTGCCCACGTCACACATTCGCTCCCTCCATCACAGCATTGTGACCTCTCCATCCCCACATCGGAGAAGTGAGAGGCATGGTAGGCCTAGATCATCTAGACTAGACTGGCCTATCACCCAATGAGTTCTGCTTAACAACAGCTAGTCTGCGCATGCCATACCCTCCCCACTCATTTGCTCCGGCCTTCATTGTGGCACACATGGGCTCTTCCATTCTTTGTTTCGCTTGAACACCAACAAGTTTCTCAACTGGCGAGGTTTTACATGTATAAATGGCCTATGCGCTGTGCACAGCAGCAGCAATATTCTTCTTTAACCGACTCGCGTGTTTGTCTGATTGCGCTATAGCAGTATTTTATTTACAAAGATAAAGAAGAATAAAAACCAGGGCTTTAGAATAGTGTCCTTATGACAGGCTTCTCGTTATTTCAGGACTAGTTATAAGTGGACTCAACTGTGTATCACAACATTGCAAGGAAAAAAAAAAGGCAAGAAGCACAGCATAACCTATTGACATGTTGAAGTATCCACTATAACATCCTTCAAAATAAAGAGAGAAAAGAATTAAGAAAAAAAAGACACACTTAGAAATAAAACATAAGACTACTTTACTACAAGGTTAGTTAATAACTTCTACACTGATGTCATTTCCTTCACCTATGTGTTTATATAATATGTGAACACCTGACCCTAGGAAAACAAAATCCATTGCCATATCTAGATGGAGAAGCAAATATTCTTTACCAGTTAGACTACATTGAGCCAATAGAAACATATAGACTAAACATGTGCAGTATAGGTATTAAAACATGAAAACAAGTTAAATTCATGGACTAACTAGGCGCATGGAGGAAAATGCTGTAAAGGGAAGACCTAAAGGCAAGACTTTCCCTAAAAACTAAGAACCAAGCTGCTCAGAGATGAAAAGTGAGTTTTTAAAAAAGGGCGACCGACAGCTTTCAAAACCATCTTCCACAGTGGTTTGCCAAGAGCAAAAGAACAACAAACTATACATTATGGCAGTCTGTATGATTTCTTCAGCCTGATGGAAAGTCTAATATTGAAAAAAAACTAAAATCAAGGATTTCATGCTATACAAAATGAAACACTTTGAACGTGTATGTAAGCATGAACTAAATCTTTACAAATTCTTGAAGTTCTGAGACTTTTAATGATGACATATAGTGCAGTTTTAGGAAGTATGAACATGTTGGGGTTTTTTGTGGTTAAACATTCAGTCTCTATTAAGGTTTCATGGAGAGGTGAGTAATCCTTCTGACTTCAAAACTTCAAAGCAAACAAAAATGATTAAAGCACACTTCCAGTGGCTCACATAAAACACAAGCACTACTAATAAAAGCTTACTTTATTGTAGGTGAAAGTACATGGGTTCAGAATGCGTAGCTCTGGGACATGGTTCCTGAAACAGTACAAAAAAACAGTGAGCAAATGGAAAATCTTTTTCATTGTCTATATAAAAAAAAAAACCCAAAGTAATGGCGCCATAGTTTTTGTTATTAATTTCATTACAGTACATAAAACTATGAAAACCCTACTTTAAGTCTTCAGCCAACGTAAACTATAAAAAGACAAGAAAAATGCCTTCGGCTCAAAACTTTAGTTAGGTACTCTTGAACAAGGTCATCAAACTTGCTTTTCATTTAGATAGCAAATTCAGCATTTCAATTTTTTTCTGATGAATGAGTCAGGTGGAAGAATGATCTTTTATACATACAGTGCTGTCAACTGGATCTTGAACTTGATTGACACAGGGTTGAAATCGGCCTTGATCAAGTTGTGTTCACATTCCTGTTAAAATGAAAGAAGAGAATTAATGGAGAGAATAGTTTTAAAATAATAAAAGCCATACTGGATGTTTTGAAAAGAAAGTTCAAACAGAATTTGTAAAGGCAACATATTTAGATTATGTTTAAAAAAAAAAAATCCACTGAAAACATTTTCCAGTTTGTACTGATCAAGAAATGGTGACAATCACCACCTCTATGGTGACCGAAAAAAAAAAAGGGGGTTCTCTCAGAATCTGTCTCTTTCAAAGTGGATATTGTTATCATAAGGTCAGCAGATTACCGTTGAAAGTAGCCCCCCCCCCAAAAAAAAAGAGAAAAGAGAAAGGACTACATTTATTTCACTGCCTTTTCTGCCTTCATATGATCCATGGTACAGGGTCTTACAAGGAAAACATCATGCATTAGGCTATTTGATTATATTATGTTTTTTGACCCCACAAAAGCATTTCGAAACAGTAATGGGCAACATAAGTCAGTGATTGACTTCCAATTGCAAAATGCACAGGTTTCAACCCCACAATGGCTCAACTTGTGGACAAGTGGTATTTTGGAGTTCACTAGTTCCTGTGTGAGTGTGTGTGCATGCGGGAGGGAGGGGGGGAG